CTTGGAGAGGGTCAGGGTATCTGCTGCTACTGTGGTCCTAGCCTCACCCCAGTTCCTACTCGTGTGCCAAAGTGGGGGGAGATAGGAGGAACGGTAAGCAGGGGTCTGTTGAGGTGTCTGCCTGCATCGTGGAAATAAAAATGATAAAAACCTGTCACTGAATTCTGGGTGGCAGTAAATTACTTAACACCTGAAACAGGTTGAAATGTGGCCACCATGGCTTTTAATAAGCCCATCTCTGATGCAGCAGCTTCCGCGAGAAGTCGGCCGGGTCTCTTCTCGAGGCATAATTTCATCGCGGCCTCGGCTTGGCAGCGGTGCAAATAAGATTTCACTTCCCCTGTAAATCTCGGAGGGGGGAGCGCAAGATTTCATTTGCGCTGTCAGTTAGCGCTGAGAGAGCCTATTTACTTTGCTGCAGGACTAGAGGGTCCTTTGGAGAGGCCAGACACAGAGGCCAGGGGGGGCGGCGGCCGTGTCAGCACGGTGAGACGACATGGGTGGGAGAGGGCAGGGGCGTGGCTAGTGTGTGGTTTGGGGAGCATGGTTTGTTGGGAGTGCTTGAAAGTGATCAGCAAGCACCACCCACAACTACAGTGTTTCAGGAACAGGGAGTGGCCTCGGATGGGTCAAGGCCTTCCTGCACAGGGTGCTAGGAGCCTGTCACAGGACAAGGCTGTGGGGCTGTGACTTAGGGTGTTGGGCCTTTTATAGGTTTGGACACCACATGTCCAGGATGCTTTGTGAGACCAGGTACCCCTTCTAGGAAATCAGAGCAAGAGAAGGGAAGGTTCCAGAATCCAGTAGGAGGGAGGAGAAGGGCAGGAGACTTGGAATGGTCACTTAGAGTTCGACCAGTGAAGTGGGGTGCATCACTCAGGTCCCTGGATCTTAGGATGCCCTTGGAAGCAAGGCACTCATTCCCTTTTGTTTGTTTGTTTGGTTTTCTGAGACAGGGTTTCTCTGTATGGTCTTGGCTGTCCTAAAACTTGCTCTGTATACCAGGTTGGTCTTGAACTTAGACCTCCCCCTGTGCGCCGCCAACACCCAGCATGCCATTCTGTTCTTAAGAGGACATCAGCCCCATTACCCTCAGTGATAAACAGTTCTGAGACTTTTGGGGGAAAATGAGGCTCTGGGCTGCTTGGCTGGTGGTGACCACAGCCCCTTGGCTTCTGTTTAGCTGCTGGTCTGAGAAGAGCTTGAGAACACAACCCTCTGCCCTGGCTTGGGGAGCTTCAGGGTCCCATTTAGTTTGTAGTGTTATCACAGGTGTGTGGAGGGTAAAGTGACCTTGGGGCAGGACTGTCCCCAAGGGAGGCAGGGGAGAAGATGCTGTGATTACTGGGCCACTGGGATTGCTACTGTTATGCTTGAAGACACTCTCCTTCATGGCCTCGCTGGTCAGCAGGCAGGTGGGTCATCTTCGTTGTGTGGGGCTGCTGTGTGCTTGGACAGTGCCCCAGCTGAGCAAGTGTTACTGTGCTGTGGAGTACTGGCAGCAGGCTGGGGTTGGGTGGGGGTTTGGGGCTCTCCTGAGTTGAACCGTTCATAGTCCTAGTGGGGAAGGGCTTGAGACAAGCCAGAACCTGCCAGGAATTCTCCAAGGTGTAACTAGGGGCTGGGCCAGCTTGGGCACGGCTAGAGCCTTTGCACGGCCAGAGCCTTTCAGAAGAGACTAGAACTGAACTTGCCTTCCTGTTCTTGTCTCAGGTAGTGAATGGGGCCCAAACTCTCCACCTTCATCTGCAGAAACACCCTCAGTGGGAGCCTACCTCCCTGCCATACTCCCAGGGCGCCCATCCTCACTCCTGGAGAAGCCTCATCCCACTGCGTCTAGCAAGGGAACACTGTTTCCCCAGGCCCAGCACACAGTAGGCCCTCAATAACTATCTCTTGGCTGACTGGCTGGCCAGCCATTTTCTAGAAAGTCTCCATAACAGCCTCAGGAAAGAAGGAGGGCACAGCCCTTTTGAACCCCAAGCATCTCCTGAGAAGTTGTAACCTGTCCGCTTTGCTCTTGTCCTGAATGGCCATCTTGAGTATTGTCCTGTGCAATGGCCCTCTTGATCTGTTCTTGCCCCAGCATAATGGGTAGTGATGTCTAAGGGATGGACGATGGGGGATGGGCCAGAGTGCTCAAGGTCACCCCTGCAGGGACCACCAGCCAGCAAGCGTGGAGAAAAAACTGCTTCCTTGGAATATAAGGGGAAACTCATTAACCCCCACTGAGATGCGAGAGCAGATCTAAGAAGGAGTAATGAGTTCTTGCTTTATCTTAAATTTAGCAGGAATTCCTGTTGTTCTCATGAAAATAATTTTTTTCTTTCTCCCACCCAGGGGTGCGAGATACACTGTTGAGGCCCCTGGAGTTGTGGATGTGGTGGGTGCCTGTTGGGAAGAAGGGGCACCTGGAGGGGAAGAACCCTGGGGTTGTGGAACAAGCACACATCCCAAATGCCACGACAGTTCTGCTCTTATCTGGGTGTCCACATGGTTGCCGGAGCCTCTTAGGGGATAATCCTCAGCTTTTATTAATAACTCTCCAAGTGAAGACCCTCTGCCCGTCTGCATGCGGCACCGGGCCGCCCTGCTTGGCTGACTTAAAAAGCTTCAGGTGCAGCTGGTCTCCCTGCTCCAAGCCCCCTTTCTTGCTCATCACAGAATCTTTGAAGAGGTTTTGTTTCTCACGGAGTTCAGGCTATATTCACTATGTTTCCACCAACAGCCTTGAACGCCTCATCTTCCCACTTCCACTTCCACACCTGTGGTGTGCCACCATACCTGGCTCTGCAGCGGGCACGGAATGTTGGTTTCTGCCTGGGAGACTTGTTAAACCCAGAGTCTGTGTCCTATCTGGCTGCTACTTTGTGCAGCAATACAACGGCAGAGCGCCGCCCCCCCCCCCCAGGCCTGGGACTGCTCAGGAGGAGCATTCCAGACACCTGGCTCCTGATGCGCTGGCCTGCGGAGCCCGGAGTCAGCAGCCGAGATGACTGTAAAAGTTAAATTTCTCTATTTATTTCAAGAAAGGACAAGGCAGGTGGACTTGGACATTTTATATGAAACAGACAAACAGAAAATAGGACCAAGTAGTTAGTCACATTCGTCTCAACATTGAAGTTCAAGGCACCTACATTGAAGGAGGCCAAAGGGCGGTTTGGAGTGCACTTTGGTTTGTGTTGTCGTCGTGGTGGTGGTATGTTTGTGTCGTTGTTTTCTGGAAAACCCCTGTCTGGTGGTAGAGCCGAGAGAAGCAGGTGGGCCATGAGGCTGAGCATACCCAGGCCTCCCAGGGACCAGAGCTTCATCTGCCTGCGAGTTCCCAGACTGCAGCCACCGCAGCAGGGGCATTCCTATCAGTCAGACCCCCGAGACCGTTTTGCCCTTCAGAGAAAAAGAAAACAGAGAGAGAGGAGCGAGCAGCCAAGGAGCCCCAGGTTGCTGAGTCTGTAGCTGGGGCAGGCCACAGGCTTGGGAAACTGGTGGTTCAGGGGCCTGCCTTGCTATGATGGGCTGGGCAGGCATCTCACCATCCATTCCCCAGAGGCTGACCAGGGGTCCCCTCAGAACCGGAGACCAGTTATACTTTCCAGTATCTGTTCTAGTTTACTTGGCAACACCAACAAGCATTCTGCTCACGAGGATGCCACTGGGAGGATGGCCCTGCCAAAACCTCCACTCTGCAGCCTTTACATAGGAATGGGGTCCTTTGGGGAGACCTGGGCCTTTGGGATCCCTGCTCACACCTGCTGGTGTCCCTGCCAACACAAGCACAGCTCTCCAGAGCCTGGTTGGTTGCCTCCCAGCTTTCAGTACTCTCTCCTCCTTTTCCTCTCAGAGGACAACCTCCAGCAGTGGGCCCGTGGTTCCTCCCCCCATGCCTCTCTGGGGGGGTGGGTGGAAGACTACCAGGGCCTCATTCTCACACTATACCCTGTATGGCCAAGTGGCTTAGTGGTTGCGGCCGGTCTCAGGTTTGTCATGCTGGGCTGGGGGAAATACCTAAGGCTATTTTGGGGTTTGGTGTGGCCACGTTGTCCCTACAACCTTCCGAGATGGAACTGGCTACCAGAGGGGTCTGCTGGAGGACCTGTTACCTTGCCTTCCATCCAAGGCAGGGTGAGAGCTGTTTGGAACCATGGGCCCCTGGGAGAATGAGCAGTGGCAGCCTGGGGCCTGCTGCGGCTTTGATTGTCGGTTCATGTCGCGCTTGTTTTCTGTCTTGAAGAGAAAGTCTGATTAGTTCCTCCAGGCGGGTGGCTGGAGTGCAGGGAGTCTCTGCAGGGGTGGCAGGCAAGGCAGGCTGTTGCCTTGGATCTTGTTTCTTCTACCCCCCCCCCATCTCTAGTTTTCTGCCAATCCCCCTTGATGCAAATCTTGGAGAAGGGAAACTGAGTCACCCATTTAGGCTGTGGTTGCTGCCAAATCTCACGGAATCTTCATTTCCCATCTGCTGGAGATACACCAATTCTGAAGCCAAGTGGGGTGGGATGCCTCTGGGAGGAGTTGCCCAGGTGAGCCAGGTCCCCTACTGGTCCTCAGTGACCCCAGGTACGGTAGGAGAAGTAGGAGAACGGAGCAGCTGATGCCTTGACTATGATGGCTGTAGGGTCTTGGGAGTGGGGCTGTATGAAGCGGTGGGGGGGGGGGCTGATCCAGCCACCCAACAGGCACACTGCCCACCATATACCCACATTTCTTTCCTGGTACAAGCTGTCAATTGTGACAGTGGTTTCAGAGAACCCAGGATGGCTTCCAGAAGTAGGAACAGCCCCAGGCTGTTACTGCACACAGGTCAGGGGAGACATGAAGAGAGCTGGTGCCCTTCCCCTGTGTGGCACACTCTGCAAGCCCCAGTATGATGAGAAAATGGGAGTGACCCCAGGGATGATGAAATTCCCAAAATTGGGGGAAAAAATACATTAAAATCTGAAAGAGGTAGAGGCAGGAGGATCAGAAATCCATGGTCATTCTCAGCTACATAGAGTGTTTGAGGCCAACCTAGGCTATGTCTCAAAAAAAAAAAAAATCAAAGGAGGTAGTGTTGGAGGATCAGAGGTTCAGTGCCAGGCTCAAAACATCATGGTGGGGATGGGGTGGAGAAACAGAAAAAAAAAAAAAATTGAAGTCTAGGAAGAGAGGAAAAGAACTCTTTTTGTCAGTTGTTCTTAAAGAATAAATGTGGATATTTCATACAAATAGCTGGAGCACTTCAAAAGAATCAGCAAATGCCTAAAACATGGTGAGTGTTTGAACAGAGCCCCAGGCACCGTCCGCTGGCTCTGATGGATGGACAGGCTGGCAGTGTTGAGACTATGGGTTACTCCTGGGTGTGAGGCAGCTGGGCTTGAGGGAACAAGTCCAGGAACATCCTGAGGCTTGGAGTACTGAACCCAGCATGTGTCCTGTCAACCTGCCTTCCCACCCCACCCCACCTGAGCACAGACTGGGGAAAGATGTCTTTGTATGTCCTGTCCTGGGGGTTGTGATAAAGCAAGCATGGGAACCAGAATGTTCAAGACAAAGACCTAGACCTTAGTCTGGAAAGCTGTTGATCACATCCTCTGATAATGCTTGGATGCCTCGTGAGACAGAGAGCTCCCTGGCCGCTTCCTTCGTTTGTCTCTCCTGGCCTTCAGTTTTCTCTTTACAGCTGGCCTCACTCTTCCTTTGGCCCCAGAGAGCAGCAGGTTCCTGCATAAGGATGCAGGACATCTTCCAGCTCCGAGTCTTACTCTCTACATGATGGCACAGGCTGCTTAGTCTGATCCAGATGTGGCTTGCCATCTCTCAAGGCAGGCTGACCCTAGATGACAGGATCAGAGTCTGCCCAGGGACTGGCACAGCTGTTGAATGACCTGTCCCAGCAACATGACTTTGCCTGTCCCAGTGGCCCTGGTGAGAGCTCTCCAATCCAAGCAATCCTCAGAGATGCCAGCTCCTCAGGGATCAGGGCAGGAACAACTGCTACCCCTCCCATTCAGGCCCGGAAAATGCCTGCTGTGTGGGCAGCCACTTGGGGCAGGTTCGTAACCCACAAAAAAAATCCCCCTTTTCCTTCACCCCCAAGGAGTTTAATCTCTTCTAATCAATTTAGCAGACTCGCTTGGTTGTAAACGGTAATGATTTGCATTTTTGAGCCTTTTTATCCTCCTTACAAAAAAAAAAAAAAATACCTCCTCTCTCTGCTCTCTGGAAAGCCTGTGAATTGCTTGTTAGTGCTCACCCTGGCACCCATCCAGCCTCGGCATCAGCTGTTGTCACCTGCGCCACTGTCTGAGTGAGTATGGAACGTGGCTCCTGGGAGGCCTTGCAGCCCTGACCCTGGCTGTGACATGTCATCTGGGTCTTGGGGGACACAGGCCGCCATGCCCACTGGAGCTCTTCCCTGCTGCCTCTGCACGGCTCCCCAGCTGCTGCATCCAATTTTCCTTGTTGTATTTTTCATAAGGAAGAGGCTCTGAGGCCCCGGCCTCCTCCCTGGTGTGTTCAGCAGAAAGCAGATGTCTGAAGAAGGCTAGCTTTGGGACTTGAACTGCCACTTGTGGGGGGCTGGGTGGGAAGGGCCCTGAGTATGGCTCTTTACTTACTCCCCTTGCCAGTGGCGGTGAAGGGAGGAAGTTCAGGCTAGGAGGCCATTCCAGACACACTGCCCATCCCTTCCGTAGTCCACACTGGCCCTTGCTACCCAGCAGCAGTTCCCCCATGGCCTTGAGGCCATTAGAACCTTCCAGACTCAACATGGAGGGGTTGCTCTTGCAGGGCCTTCGTGAAACAAAAGACCCCAGTCACCCTCATTTTAAAGAGGGAAGGCAATGCTTTACATTTGCATAACAGGATCCTGGCTTCCTTGCTGGGGCTGAGCTGGGCAGCTAGCCTACTAGAAACCCTGGGAAGGGGGTCCTGAGAGACCTCATGCCCACTGAGAAGGAGAGGCATGACTGCATGGAACAGGGATGGGCTTCTGGCTCCAGGAAGGGAAGGCAGGAAGGACTCCTCCTAGCCTCAGCTGTCTTCCCAAGGTTATCAGCTTTGCCCAGGATGAGGAAGGGGTACTGTCCCAGCACCTGCTCCCCAAGGCAGGATCTCCCACACTGGGCCACAGCACGGCTCCAATTTAAGGAGGAGGGAGGCCAGGGGCCTTTCAGGGAAGATGGAGGCTTCCTCAGGAAGAGGATGCAGATGAGGGAAGAAAGGGATCTTTTGATTCACGTCATGTCTGTGGAATTGAGTATGACTAATTAATAGATTTTATTCTTAGTAATCTCTTAAGCATTCCATACGTTGGGCCCCACGCCTGAGCTGAGCCTACCAGAAACTTCATTCGCAAAATGCAAATGCCTGTGGTCCTGCTGCCTCTCGTTCCTTGCCTTTTCTTCCCCATTTTTTTTTTTTTAAAGAGGAAATTTAAAGTAAAATCGCCGTGTAATAGAAAAAGAGATTCCAATCGCTGCATCTAATTACCACGAAGGGTAAACCACTTAACCAAAGAAGTGTCACTGGCTTTTTTTTTTTTCAGTTTAAACTTGCCTTAAATGCCACAGAATACACTCCTCAGGGCTGAGGCCACTGAGGTTGTTCCAGCTGGTTAGAGACTGGGAGGGTCAGGCTGGCCCGCCACAGACCTCCCTGTGGAAATGTCAGCTGCACCGAGACAGGATCTCATAGGCCTTCCACTGTCAACCCTGGCTTCCCTCAACTTCTTCTACTGTAACATGAGGCCAGAAGCCAGGTTCTCTGTCTGCTTTGGGAAACTAGGACAAAGGTCACACTTGGGATGCTAGGGGATGGGCTACTGGGGATCTAGCTCAGTTGCAGAGTGCTTGCTTTGCACTAGAGGTGCTAGACGCAATCTCTAGGATTCCCCCATCCCCAACACACACAGAATAAAGGGTACTGGGAAAATGTTAAACACAAAGAGACAGAAATGACATAGGGCGGGCTCTCAGGGGCTGCAGGGCCATGGCTGGGCAGTGCTCACCCTGACCAGCATTTAGTGCTCCTTAGGGGGCAATGCCAGCCCTGGATTCTCCAACTGCGTGTCATGTGGACTGAGCTCCACTCAAGCTTTGACATTCTGCCTGTGCCTGCCAAGGCCCCTGTCGGTCAGGCTTATCTGTGCGGTGGGGGAAGAAACTTACCACAGCCCAAGCAGCTCTAGCATTTGGCCCACAAGTTCCTGAATCTCCAGGTAGGGCCTTCCAGGCAGTTCCCAGGGTCTAGGTCACCTGCCATTCCTAAGAGTTTTCCTGGCCACCAATGAAAGTGTCCAGATCCTTCTGGGGCAGGGAATAGATAAGGAGAATGTGGATGAGCCTGCCCAGCATCTGTGCTCTCCTTCATTAGCTGTTCCTCACAGATGGGTTCCTCCGTGCCTGCCTAAGCTGCCAGACCAGGGTGTTATTAGGGCCACGGGGACAGCTGAGCTCCAGGACACACATTTATACAGACCTGAATCCGAGGCTCAGGAACTTCTCTCTTGACCTCATTATGTGGGAAAATGACTTGGGATGAAGAGGAAAGAGAGGTCTCCTTTGGAATGATCCATGTCCATACCCCTCGGCCACTCCCTGGGGCTGGTGGGCTGGGGTCTCCATTTGGTATGATGACCCCTTGGGTTCTGATTAGGAGCCTGTGCCCCTTTCCACTACTCTGGAGCACCTGCTGGGTCCATTTCTTTCAATCTCATCTCTTCACTGAAGGACCAGTTGGCTCTTTAATGTCCAGCGAGAGGATGGCCCCCCAGGTACACTTCGGGCAGCTGCCTGGCTGCTTCTTCCTGCCTTTGCTTTGAACAGAGTGGCAGAGGTCTTTGGCAGAGGTCTTTTGAAAACACCACTATCAGGAGCTGGACCCCTTCTCATCCGGCTGCCCTCGGACCAGTGTCTTCCTTTGATGACTTTTTTCCCCAGTGCAGGGCAAAGCAACACATTGACAGATGGTGACCCGGGCTCCCCAAGTATAGGGCAAAGCAGACATCAGAACCGCAGGCACCGCTCTTCCTTCCTTTCTGGATTTGCTGTCATTATTTTACCATCGTTTTAATCTCACGGCTCACCACACTGTGGTGTCGGTTGATAAATGATAGTGACATTGATTCCACAGGGAGGGGAGAAAATCTGAGCTCTTCCGAGGGCCCCGCTTAGGACCCTTTTGGAGGTTGATGTATTTTACAAAGAAATCTGATTTTTTCCCTCTTGAGAACAGAGCCCCTGGTGTGGGCATGGCCGAGATGTGTGTGTGTGTGTGTGTGTGTGTGTGTGTGTGTGTGTGTGTATGTGTGTGTGTGTCTCCCAGGGATTTTCTGATTTTTTTTTCTTTTTTCTGGGCTTTGTTTGAGCAGCCATGGAAACCAATAGGTCTAGCCAGCTGATGTGTGTGTGACACGTATATTTATAAACAGTCCCTGCACTAATTACCTGTCCCAGGAAAAAGAGTAAACACTACCGTGGGGACAGGATCTATGGGGGAAGGATAGATGGAGACACTGGCCATGAAGGAAAGCTTTTCTCCATAGCAGGAAGGAGAGTGGCCTGGCTCTGGGCAGGGTGACATAGGATGGACTCCAAAGCATCCTCAGCCAATTCTTCCTAACTCCACTGGGAGGCTGATACCAGTGCCTCTAAGAAACAGCAATACCTTCCACCTGGGCTGAGGCCCCGCCCCTCCACCTCACTCTCATCCCACACATGGTTTACTTACTTAATGATTCTAGGAGAAAGCAAACTTTTTGCAATTCTATCATCTGAGAAAATGTCAAGGACTGACCCACAGGTGCTGAGAGGACAGACACGCAGCTCTGTCTACCCATCTGTACTGAGACACACGACATGGCAACAGGCGGGCAGAGAGACGCACCTCCACACGGCAGGGAAAGCTATGGCTTTCCTCAGAGCTTCGACGGAGTTCGGTGAATGGAACCGAAGCGCTCGGCACTGGAAGGAAAAGTTTGACTGTTTTTCTTTTTTTCTTTTAATTGACTATGGTATTGTTCGAAGAATACCATGGAGGACGCCATATTTCTGCAGATCTGGAAAGAAAACAGCATGGAAAGAACCAGGGAAGAGGTTTCAGGACAGTATCTCCGTAGCAGAAAGTCTTCTTCCCTGGGCTCTTTTGTGAAAAACCCCAAAACCTTTCATTGAGTTGTCAGTGTGAGCAGTCAGTAGGGTTGCGTGGGGGCTCCATGCCATCACGTCCATCTGTCACCTGTTTCTCTGATGGCCCTGAATGGAGCTTGAGGTGTACACGAATGTTGTACAGGTAGTATCAATCTGGTTCAGGGGAAAAAAGTCCCAATCCAACCCTTCACGCTCATGATCTGGTATAAATTACGAATTATGTCTCCAACAATGTTGAATTTCCCTTCTGCTTTCTATGTGTTTAATTTTTTTTTTACCCCACTATTGTGTTCACCAACCCTCCCCAAACTTTGCTTTCTGCTGGGAAAGTCACTGTGGAGTTTCTCTTCCTGGCTCCTGGTATCGCAGCGGGCTAGACAGAGCCATGTGAGCACACCGGGGTGGCCGGCTTCATGTGTAGGAGTAGTCCACATCAGGGATGCCGCCATCCCGGTAGCCCCGTGTGGTGCCGTAGCCAATAGTGTGGGCACCCTTGCAGAGGCTGCTGCCATTGGAGGGGAAGATGGTGTGCACCACGTACTCCTCTTTGGAGCGGTACGGGTTGATGGGTAGCATCTGCAGTCCTGGGCCTCGGATTTCCAGGATGGAGTTATCCTTCTTGGTCCCTGACTCCATGTAGTCATCCTTTTTCCTGTTGCCCCTGTTGTAGACCCTCTCTCGGGTCAGCAGCTCACCAGCCCGGTGCACATACCAGCAGATGGCCCCAAGGACCAGGAAGAGAAAGACGAGAGCTACGGCACCACCAATGATGCCAGCCAGGGGCAGCCCTGCCATAGGGCCAGCATTCTGTTCCTGATTGAGTGTGGTGGTAGGGCCGTAGTTATCAGCCGTCTCTGCCTTGGCACACACAGGTGTCTCATCAGCCACATAGGTGTTGCCAGTCTCCATGGTGACCATGCAGATGATGTAGGTGGATTTGGGCTCCAGGGCTGTCAGCAAGTATTCTGTCTTGTCCCCCTGCACCAGGGTCTCTGTGATAGAACCCACTGCTGGGCTATGGCCCAGACGTAGCCAACTGAGCCGGAAAGAGGAGGCAGGTAGCATGGCCTTCCATGTGATTCGGATGGAGTCTGCTGTCAGTGGCTTCACCTGGATGACCAATGTCTTGGCACCATCACCGGTGCCCATGGGGTAGTCAATGTTGGAGTCAGGGAGGCGCAGTCCTGGCCTCTTGGCCTTGAGAGTAAACAGAGAGCCCTGGGGCGTGGTGACAGAGGCGTGGTTGCTGGCTGTGGTCTTGGCAGCTGCATTGGCTGCACTGCCCTGTGACCCCGCCTCAAAGCACTCGTCCATCTCGCTGGTGATATCTTTGATGGCCATGCCCCGGACCTTCTCAGGGCCCTGGCACATGAGGCCCCGCACATTGACCACTGCAGCCCGTGCCTTCACCCAGTCCCGAAGCCACATGAGGTTACAGCCACAGAACCAGGGGTTGTTCCTGAGAAGCAGCTGTGCCAGGTTCCCCAGGTCATCAAACAGGCCTCGAGGCAGTGTGGTGAGGTTGTTATTGGACAAGTCCAACCTCTCCAGCTCCCTCATCTTGGCCAGTGTATTGTAGGGGATGTGGCTGATGGCATTGTCCTGCAAGTAGAGCTTCTGCAGGTGGGCACTAGGCAGGTTGAGGGGCGGGGCAGCCAGCGAGTTGCGCACCAGTGACAACTCTGTGAGGTTCTGCAGGCGGCTGAAGGTGTCGTCAGCAATGCGCTGGTTGGCCAGCAGGTTGCCATCCAGAACTAGGCGCCGCAGGCTGTTGAGCCCCTTGAACGCATGTAGCGGTATGGTGGAGATGCGGTTGTCATCCAGCCGCAGCTCTTCCAGTGTGTGCGGCAGCCCCGATGGGATGCTGCTTAGGTGGTTCCGGCTCAGGAAAAGCAGCTTGAGCTGCTTGCTGTCGGCGAAAGCGTCCTCCTCGATGCTGACGGTGGAAACGGAGTTGTCATCCAGGTGCAGCCTCTCCAGCAGCGGGATGCGGGCCAACGAGTCCCTGGCGATGGTGCGCACATTGTTGTCCTGCAGATGTAGCTCTCGCAGGGAGCGGGGCAGGTTGATGGGGAATTCATCCAGGTCGTTCTCATACAGGTAGATGACCTGCACTTTGACCTTGGTCTTGAGGTCCTGAGGAATGCCTGCATTGTTGATCTGGTTGTTCTGTAGGTAGAGGGTGGTGGCATCATCAGGGATGTCTGAGGGGATGGACGTGAGTCCCCGGTCGTTGCAGTAGATGAAGCCATTGTCACAGCGGCATACTGATGGGCAGGTGGTGCTATCGATGACCTCTGTGAGGAAGGCAATGAGCCCATAGCAGAGAAATAGCCAGTCCCGCAGGTCCATGGTGGCCGTGGTCATCACAACAGTGGCTGTGATGGTGGCAGCAGGTGTGGTGGTAGTGGTGGCAGTAGGGTGTGCCACCACCATGGTGGACAGCTGGTGGAGGTCTGACCCACCTAACCTGGAGCCTCAATACCTGCAAGGAGCACAAGATAGGTGTGCTGAGTGTGAGACAGTGACAGGGGAGTCATCAGAGTTGGGTCTTGCAGGGCTGAGGCCAGGCAGCAAGGGAGGCCCATTTTATGCCAACCTGGAGGCAGGAGGGCTCCCTGGCCAGGATGACTCTAATGACTGATGTTCACTGGTCTGGTCCTTGGGAGGAGCCAACACCCTAGGGCATTTAGTGTGTGCTGCTGCAGCCTGGGCTGTGACCTCACACTTTAAGGGTCACACAAATGGGGCCGGCCAGTGGGATGGATTTCATGGATGAGCCATCATTTCCAACAGGACTGGGACAGACCTAATTCTGGCATGGACTCAGGGCTGAAGGAAAAGCTTGTTTCTGGGAGGCTGTCAGCTCAAGAGGCGTGTCGCCAGAACCTTCAGGAAAGACGCAGCCAGCGGTGTCACTGGTGGGCAGTGGAGGACAGAGCTCATTGTCTGGTGGTGAAACACCACGTCCTGTTTGTCAGCCATGTGTTTCATACCCAGAAGAATGAGGTGTCAACAGATCTGATTCCTGGCTCCGTGTTCTGTGCTTTCTGGGGGAAAATTCCATACCTAGTCTTTCCCCAGCTGAGATAACAGGGCACACACACATGCACATGCACACGGACACTTACACATCAGCTTTCTTGATTTAAAGAAATGAGACAAATAAAGGAGGGAGATGTCAGCACGCTGAGGAAATTTTTCTGCAAGGTGTAATTTCAGTTTTCACAAATAGAAAAATTGCAGCATAGAGTTTTCTCATTATTTTACTGTTCACAGTGGTAAAAAATCAATTAAAGAGAAATTATCTTTCCATCTCAGTGAAAAAAGGGTGTCTTCATACAGCCAGAGAAGGTCTGCAGTAAGACTCAGGGTCAAGGAGGCTCCCAGGGCAGAATGTGATGGCTTCTCAAACCTGATCTGAGGGCCTGGCCCGGGAGGACAGCTCTGGAGTGTGGAGCAGTGTCCAGTGGGGACCTCACCAGGATGCTCCAGGAACCAGATGGCTCCATTTCTCATACACACACCACACCCTCCCCTTACACGTCCCTCTCTGCTCCTGGCAGCCTCTCTCTATCCAGTGACCTCCTCCTCACCCTTCAGGACACTTGGAAACATTCCAGCCTTTACTAGGTCCCCCAGGTGGGCTCTGCTCTGTCCATCCACTCAGCCGTGTCCACTCCATCCCTCTTCCTGCTCACTCAACCACCCACCCTGCCTGGCCCACTTGCCCTGCTTCCACAGCTCCTCAGGTTTTGAGCTTCCCTGCACACTGAGCCCTTCTGTCCCACCCTCTACCTCCCCCTGGGGTTTATCGTGGTCTCATCTCCTTGGTAGTCCGCATCAGAAGCCTTGACATCCAGCTGGGCCCTGCTGAGGCTCCCTGGACACCTCTTCTCCTCCGTCTCTCTCACTGTCTTGCAGTGTTCCCTAGCCTGCCTTCTCCACCCATCTGCCCAAGCCCCTCCACCACTGCAGTGGCTGTCAAAGCCAGGGAGCAAGCCCTGTGACATTCTGTATTATACCCCTCTCCCTCTGAAGCAGCTGACCCACCCTGCTGCCCCAAGACATACTTCCCTCCTCCCAGAATAGATCCTCAGAGACACATAGTGCTCACACTTCCCACAGGTCACCTCATCAAAAAGCTCAGAACATGTAATCCCAGAATATGTCTTCTCTCTGCTCAGTGTTTACCGACTCATCACCAATTAGCATGTGCTTTATTTTAGGGCTTTTGGGGTACCCTACCCATTAGGGTCTAGCCTAGTAGTTGGTACACAACAGGCTCTTATCAAGTATTTCTACAAAGAAATTGGTACTGGCCCCTTCTGAAGGCACAGCTCTGCTGGCAGGAGGCTGTGGAATCCAGATGTGCTCCCAGGCCTAGAATCTCACTGCATGGCTCCCACGCTCCACTGAGACCGAGGCCTAGCCAGCCTGGGCATTACTATGGGCTGGGGCTGAGGGCTCTTTTGTCCTCACCAGACTCCTGTTGTTCTCTGTGTGGTATGACACCCCAAGCTTCTCCAGGCCTGGCCAAATCCCCTTGCCAATCATCACCTTGGGATCCAAAGCTAAAGACAGCATGCATGCCCAACAGAACTGACCCCTTGAGCCAGACCCATCTGTATTCACAGGCAGCCTGCACAGCACATTCTCAGCATGTTCCTGTGCCTCTTCTACTTCACAACTTAAAATACAGAGAGGTGAGGGGTCCAGCCACTCCAAGGTCACAGACACCTAGACCTATAGCTGCATACCTGTCTCATCTTAAAGGAGCCTGAAGGTCCCATCACAAGTCACTTTGTGAATAGGGATGAGGAGTGGGACAGGGCTCAGCTTGCTCCTAGGCTGCCTCATTTTGTCCCTGGGAGGTGGCCCAGCACCTCTATCTGAGCCCGAGTTTGGCCAGAAGACATACCTGTTCCTGGCCAGCCGATGAGTTCTGTCTTGAGGGACACCACAGCCTCTGCCCTTGCCGTTCTGGGCCAGTGCCCTGAGCAGGGCCAGACTTGTTAAGGCCAAAGCCAAGGCTGCCACAGTCTCTGGCGTGGACATCTGTTCTCCTACCGTTTAGCTCATGGCCACAGTCCCCAGCCTCCTGAGACTCAGCATCATAATAGAGTCTAAATTGCACCTCTCAGAGATGTTTGATGGATAATGGAGCAGCAGTGTCAGGCAGGGACCCAAGGCCTTTCCACCCCCTATCTGCTGCCCATCCATCTTTCCCAAGCGTCCCTGGTCCACCCTGCTTCCCCAAGGCCGACTCCAGTCTCAGCCCCAGGAGCTTCAGGAACAGCAGGAACAGGACAGACCTACCTGGGAGGGAGACGGCAGCCTCTCTAGAGGAGCCCTTAAACTATTCAGACGCCTGGTGGCCTTTTCATTCCCTTGTTGTGTCTGATAGTTTATGTGGTCATCAAGTTAAACCTGGTAAATTGCCCAACTTTTACGGGATCACTGGCTGTCATTGTGGGGATTACACAGACGGTGTGCCACGAGTTACAACCTGCCAGTTCTGTGATGGACAGCAGGATGCAGACGCTTCACTAGAGGGTGCAGAGAGACAGTTCCCCCCGGCGACCCCCCCCCGCTCGGGAGCTGGAGCAGTTGCTGGTTTCTGCCAATGGTCAGAACAGAGTGCAGTGGGCTCGAGTCCTGCCTATACCACTTCCAGGCGGTGTGATTTAAGTAGGCTATACGTCCTCTCAGGGCTTCAGCTTCCTTGTCTATGTATGTGGTTGACAGTTGCCCTTACGTGAGAATTTAAAGTGATAAGATGAGATTATGTGTGCAGAGTATCCCACGTGCAGAACACCCTTCCTAAGAGCAGCCTGTGTCCCCACTTCCTCCTATACACAGGGATAGCCCCTGTGTTAGCTGCCCCTCTGTGCTGCTGCTGCTTCTTCTTCTTCTTCTTCTTCTTCTTCTTCTTCTTCTTCTTCTTCT